AAAAAAAAATAATTGACAAGCAGTTGACATATTGAAAGGTGACATAAGCTAGCTACATGAGTTTTTATAATCTTAATATTTTTCTTTTACTTTTAATCTAACCAGGGATTAGCAGCAGGGAGGGTGACAGCCTTTTCCCACTAAATCAATGTTTTAAGCGATTCCTCAGACAAGCAGATCAGTTCTAAGCAACTGGAAAATAAACTATGGAAAAATAATACATAAAAACACATTTTTAAAATTATTTCATCATATTCCTTCACAGGCCATTATCCACAAAGGAAGCGTTTGAAACATTAAGAGGCTACCAATGTCCACTGGTATCAAGGGGGGCATGTCAAGTTTCATTATAAGAGTAGTGACACAAATAAAAAGATTTTATTTCCTTAATTCTGAAAAAAAAACCATAGGTAATTGCAACAGCCTATGTAGGGCAGAGTTTAGTCTAAACCTGGAATATAATAGTTAGGAACACATTAAGAGTCACTAGGTGTTAGCTGAATATGAACAAATTTGCCCAAATTTATCCAAAATGGTTATGGTATGCTATCTCTGATATGAGAATCTAGTGAAAAGCACCCTATCCTGGGAGCTCAGAGTAGCTGTCACAGCACTGGCTTCTTTCATCAACATGCAGGGTTTATGCCACTTACAGAGCACACAAATTAACCCTGAAAAAAGATTTACTACGTTATGAATGATATTATGAATCTTGGTCTTTCTCAAGTGAGTTGCCTGCCCATCTTCAAGAACCAGTAATAAAAACAGTCTCTGGGATTAAACCAGACTGCTTTAATAGGATCATCTTCACTGCCATCCTGTTCAGGATTACTCCCCTGTAGCATCCTGAATTACTCCAGAACAGTTTCTTAACACACAAAAGAACAATAGGTGGTTTTCTTTCTTTTTACCTTCATAAACTAAATGTGCTTTAACTCTTTTTACAAAGAAAGGTTTCTGCCATGAGAAGCATCATTTTGTAGAAACACCCAGAGGCTAGAAGAACCACACACCTAGCAGCACTGTGCGCAACACCAGTTCTGCCAAGACTACCAGTATCAAAGGTATAAAGCCTGTACTCTGATGCTATACACTTTCACGAAAATCTTACCTGAATTCAGAGTTTCAAAGAAGAATTGCAATCGCAAAGGATTTGTACAGTTCATATTTCCAAGGAAAAGGTATGGGGAGAATGGGGGGGAGTGAGAAAATTAGTGACAGTTTATTTTTAACTTGCTATGTTAAAAGTGTCATCTCAAGTAAATACTAGAAGAACAATTGTGTTGCAAGAATTTTATTTAGTATTTTCTTTTCCTTTTCAACTACAGGCCAATTCTGTTTTCAAACTAATTCTAAATCAATAGTAGGCAGAGATTCAATCCTTTGTGCTGCTATTGTAATAGAGTAAATTTAATGTTTTCCTAAGGAAAACTAGGAACTATCACATTACTGCAAAGCTTTGATTCTTTTGAGAACCAAAATAGATCAGTATTGATCACAGTTGTTCTAATGGCAGCCAGAATAGTCTGACTAAACTGTTTTTCCCCACCTGCCAATTCTGCTTATGCCAAGAAAACAAAAAGAAACTTTATTTTTGCAGGAGCAATCATATTTTTTCCCTATAAAAATCATCTTAAATTACAAAACAATTACAACTGCTGAAACAAAGGACTTCTGACTAGTCTCAGATAAGGCATGGACAGAAAAGCGCACAATTACAGGACAGTCTCTCCAGAACACATGACGTACAGATAAGACTAGAGGCTCTTCAAAAAAGGTACCATAAGTATTTAACTAAAATGGTTATTTTTTAATTCTTCTATCTTTAGTATCACTATAATTTATTTGGAAGCAACTGTTTAAGAGCTGTCCCTTAAAAAGAGACATGACATTTGTGCCCTGTTAATATTACGTACGAAGTGGATTTATTCTCTCACAACTGAACAACTGGGTTTTGTTACTACTGTAGAAAGAGTCGAAAGCACCTTGTAGCATTACTGAACAAACAGGACAGAGGACTGTCTCAGACTTCAGCGACTGGGAATACATATGCGAATATTGTTTTTGCTAAAGAAAAGAACTTGTCAAGTTCAATCTTTCTCTTAGCCTTTTATGTATTACTACAATTTCGACAGCTCATAATCTTAAGCAGTCCTTGATATTAAGCCCAATTCTTCAACTACTTTAAAGACAGAATTGAAAAATCAATGTACAGAACCGACCACATCATAATGTTCCCCACAATAGATGGGGTTTAGACATAACTGAGACAATCTTCCAGTTCTACCTTAAGAAGGAAATAAAGTGTCAAAGACAATGGAAATTGTTTTCTTTGTTCAAGGTATATTGAGTTGTTATAATATAAAATTGGACTAGATGATCCTTACAGGTCTCTCCTAACTTGAGATATTCTATGAAAATTATAAATATGCAAACAAGGCTAGACAATGTAAGAAATATCAGCTACAGCCAAAGCAAAGAAAGAAATAATCATTGGGAAAATAAAGAAAGTGAGTACTGTGTTATCCTACCAGCAGCAGAAATACAAACTGACATGTTGGGCTATTCTGAACGCATTGGTATCAGCTAATAAAAAATGCACATATAGTATGAAACTGATCACAATTATTAAAATATAAGACAAATTGATGTGGTTAAAGACTTCAGATTTTTTAACACTAAGACCATTAACTTTAGTCCAGGAAAATCTTTACTTTCATTATAAGCGTAATTTTTATGAAAAAGGGAAAGAAAGCAGAGAAGTGACATCACTTTGCTTACACGCTACAAGAAGCTACTGCCTTTCAAACAGGAATGGCTATTTGAGAAATAAGAAAGATAACAAGCATTCATTATGAAGTTACACATTTTTCTAAAGGTCAAATTCCTAACATCCAAGAACTCTTAAAACTTCCCACCTCCCCTAATCTCTGCTTTGGTCTCCATTCAGAAAGTTATCTGAGAAAAAAATTAGTTACAAAAAGTAGAGTCACTTCAAAAGCATTGTCATCTGGAAAATTAACAGCAACATTCAATGCAATATAATTTGATTTTTAAAACGTTGTTAACTTACCCTGCTCATGGAATCAAAACATTTTCTGACCAGCGACTCAACATCGTTAGGTCTATCTTGAACATTTATCCAGTCTAACAAAGACACATTGAAGGAAGGCTGCTCATCATCTTTCAGTTCTACTGACGTTTCATCATCCTGGACAGTAGCATTTTGACCAGACTCTTTACCTTTTACGTTTTCAGGATCTGTGCCTTCCAAAGCTGAATGTTCAACTGACTTGCAAAATGAGGCTAACATTGATTTATTGTTCACTTTAGATACATCAGAATGAAGCACCAATTCAGCAGATTTCCCATCCTCAGTTTCTTCACTTTCTGCCCCTCCATGCTCAGGTGAAGAATCCAGTCTTCCTAAACACTCTCTGTAACTATGTCTTGTTAGGCACTCCAGCAGTGGTATCTTGGCCATGACAGAAACAGCAGAACCCAAGCTTTTTCAAAAAGGGTGAAAAGAAAAAAACATCAGTATCTAGAAGCCAATGTGACATAACTTAAATACAAGCCACCCATAACATGAAGTATTACTTATTTCAGAATTGAAGCAGATTTCAAAATTAATTTGGTAACCACCCTTTCAAAATGCTGTCATCAGTATCATCATCATGACAGTTTCATAAACTAAGCCTTTTTTTTTTTTTAAACACACAACTGTCACTTTTATGTTTCCAATCTGCATGGATACCAATGGTTATTAGCAAAGACGGAGCATCCTCTGGCTGACTACTTCTGCTGAGTTTGCATAGTTTCTATATATTTAGTAAAAGCTATGAAGTCCAACATTTTTATTAGAAGGTAAAACATATTTATGCTTTATTTCTCTAAGTATCCAGCATCTACTTACATTCTATTAGGCCGAGCTCTCACAGAAATACCATAATACTATAGTGTCCAGAAAGAAGTAAGATCTTTCCTTGAAGTAACATCTACATATATATAACAACATCCACATATATATATATAAAACACATATATATACACACACAACCCCTCAAAGGTATACATATACACCCAAAGTTTGTGTTATGACTTCATACTTTCAACACAGAGCATAATTCTTAATATCTGCTCAAGTGTATTAAAAAGCAATGAATTCAAAAGTGTAAAATGTGTTATTTAAAATTTTTGATTAATGTCTAAATTTATTATCTAGCTATTTCTAGTGCACATTAGCTCTTAAACAGCTGTTCAATAACGAGCATATCTTCCACATATTTCAGTACAGGTTTCTGTGTGCTGATGAATACAAAGAAAAAATGCCAGTTGAAAAAATGGGTAGCATAAAACAGAAAGAATGTTCTTCATGACACACAGTCAAATACATGCTTGATTCACTGGAACTAGCACCAGACACACAACACTCAAAAAATAAGTTTAAAATACAATAACTTTGGAGATTGAGGCTGAAGTTTAATGGCAAACCTACTGGGTAAGTTTCAACTTGATTTCATCTATGGACTGCAAATAGCTTGAATATACATTTTCAAACTTGAAAAGTAGCTTTTGGTAAGAGTATGTACAATCTTCCAAGTTGGCCATTATGGCAGCCCAGCCTTGATGCTGAAGATGCTCATCATGTACAAGACCTTCACAAAAGGAGCAAAGCTTCTTGGCAACCTCATACATTTCCTGCAAAAAAAAAAAAAAATCCACAAAAAATAGAAATCACTTCAGGTTATTACTGTGGTAACTATATAAAACATTGAAGTGAGACATTTAGAAAATATTAACATTAAAAATGTTAAATTTAGATAGCTAAAAAGGTGTACACCTTAAAACTTCAATTAAAAAGGAAACTTCCTTTATTATCAAATAAAAAATTTAATTAGACAAGAAAAAAATGTATAGATTATTTGCTGAGAAATATCTTCAGAACAGGCAGGTGAAAGTTGCAGTTCCAAAAAAACTTTAAAAAATTAAATGCTGCTAATATAAAATATTCAGTGCACACATACACGAATAACAATGCTTGTGCTAATCTGATAGAAGCAGCTGGCAAACAAGGTCCATGAAGAAGAAAACTGTTAATGAGCCAAGCAGAAGGTCAGAACAAGACACTGAATTGCAGGATCAGTCAGCAGAAGTGCAGGTGCATCAGACGCAAGAAGAGATGCACGAGGAAAACAGCACGGCAGATCATGAATTGAAGTTAATTATATGAAGTTAATAAACCAGATGCAACATGATGAGCAGCAGTGCAGAGCATCCACAAAACTCTAAAACGCACCCTGAAACCTGGTATATTCAAACGAGCATGGAAGCTCTTCTGCTAACAACTGGATGACATGGAGGCATTTTACTGCCATAGGAAGGGGAGAATTTAATTACCATGCAACTTGGCAGGGTTAAAAGAGACCTACATACGGCAAGTACCATATATTACTAAAAGTGCACTAACAGCAATGCCCATGATATTCCATCCCAAAGTTTTAACTAGTAGGAAGAACTATTTTAAGTTTACCAGTTTAAGAGAACAGACTGTCCCCCACAAAGGGCTTACTACTCAAACACCAAAATGAGAAAGTAAAACCAAAGTTATACAATAAATCCTTCAGCTCAGTACTTTATCAATAACCTATGACATGGAAAATATTCTCCTAAGCATACAAGTATGTTGGGTTTTGATATCTACTGACCCTCCAAGAAATAAAGACCTACTACTTTTTGCAGGTTGAGCATACTGTTAAACCAGGACTGAACAGGTAACTTTCCTCTGCTATAGTACATGTGAGAAACCATGCACGGAGAAACAAGTTATACACACACAGAGTGAGAAAGCCGTGTTAAAACCCAGCACATCAGTAGATTTCAGAATGCATTTGCTGCTGAACACATGGTTAGCAGCACATATGCATAGACAAGAAACCTCAGAGCCCAACAAAAATTATCTTCCTGAAATAAACCACAAAACCACAGAGCATTTTATCCAAACAATTCAGAATTAATATTGACAAAAGCTGAAAGTTATGAACACCCTCTCATTTTTTTAAGAGTCCAAGCCTTGTCTCAAGCAGCATGGCAAAATTCCTTCAAATCACTGGTATCTAGGCTATCAGCAGACGAACAACGACTATACAAGCATACTTACACATGCAACTCCAAGGAAATAAAAAGCTACTATAAAATTCTATCACTTCATAGTAAAGATGCAACTTGTCTTGTTTTCTGAACTTTGGTCACTTTCTGTGCACAGAAGAATAAGGATTTCCAGTCTGAAAAGAACAGTTATTTTATTTGCTGTACTTCCTAGGTTAAAAAAATCAACTGATAACACAACTGGGATGGCATCCAGATAATGCTGAAATCCGCAAGTCATTTTCTTCGGACTACCTACAGTTCGTCTATACAATTTAAATTCACTTAAGATGACAAATGAAATATTGACAACTTGAGCATTTAATTATTTTCTTAAAATCACTTTGTATACAAGTTACTCACAGGCAAATTCCACAGCACATAAAAAAGCAGAATTACTGCTTCCTCAATTATCATATTAAGAACCAAAATAACAGGCTGTTTTACCCTAAGGTACACTAAAAAATACACCAAAAATATGAAGCTGGAAAGGTAATTGAATATCCCCGCTGTGTTCTAGCGAGTGTCCTGGGAACGTTCACAAGCAGTTTACTTTCAACTCACAAACGCTATTCTCTTCCCAAAGTCTTCTTCCTCCTAACTCCTGGCAATAATTCCAGAAGTGAGAGTGTATGCAGAAGCACACAGTAGTCTGAAGACTAGAACATCACAAGCCATCTACAAAATCAAAACTGATCATAAAGACTTTTTACGCAGTTCCTTCAAGTGAGTATCACAGTTTACTGGGGAAAGTAAAGACTGGACTCCTCCCACCTTCAAATAAAAACATTTCTTTAAAAGCCCTGGGTAGAGGCTTTTTTGAGTTCTGTTTTCCTGTGGACAAACTCACTTAGCCCAGCACAGTTCAATGTGTCATAAGGAAATGTATACACTAGGCTTGATACGACCAGATTTCCCACCTTGAGGCACACTCTTAACTAGCGGCCAGCGGGTGCTTTCTTAGCTAGATCTAGTTAGCATGTTCCCGATGGAAGTCAAAAGTTACAAGTTAGTGTTGTCCTATGAAGCTTTGTTATATGTCATTCTTGATGCTCCCTTGAGAACCTAAACATTGTCAATTTAACATTTTAGTTTTAACAAGGTTGATTCCTCAACAAAACACTTTCAGATGCCAAACAGAAGTCATAAGTTACCAAATTTTAGCCAGGGGAAAAAAAAAAAATCATTACAACTGAGATTGCTTGTTACACTACCGATGACCAGCACTGACACTCTGTAGGAGTCTAACTTATGGCAGTTTACCCAAATTTAACCAAACCAGAAGCTTGCGTTCCAGCACTCTGACTCCTAGAAAAGTGAGAGTACACAACAGTATTTCACAGAGGGGCAAATTCATATTTCTTTATTTTTTAGAAACTATATAACAGAAGGGCATCCTAATAAGTGTCAGGACCTGTCATACAACAGAGACACACCCAAAGGAACTCTTATATAAAAATAAAAATACCCCAATGCCATCTAAGTATTCAATCAGGCATGAATTATCAAATTATTGTTGTATACACAGGAGACATGAAGATTAGAAAAAAAAAAATCCCCTTATGAAAGAAACCATAGATGTGATACTGAGAGACAAAAGATTTTCTCTGAACTATTTAGAGCTCAACTGAACTAAGATTGAGCTCAAAATTAATCTGCCTGAAAACAAAGCTAAGTTTCTTTCAAATAAAGTTATCTGCAAGCTAACACACTACAAGTCAAACTGTACAACTGAACAGAGACATGACTGTTACAGGGCACATATGCAAGATATTACAGCAGCAATCCATCTTATCCTCACAAACTTATTTTTACATGTGTATCCCAAGTGCTGAAGAAATTTTCTCTGGGTGGTGGGGGGCAAGCACTAGAACTCTGTCCGCATGGATGAATGCAAACACAATTAGAGTCCAGAGGAACCCGGTACTGCTTTTGGTGCTGGTTCCTTAGTCAATAGCATGAAACAATCTCATTACATTCAAATAGTACAGAATATTACTCTGAATTCAGGGAGCTGAAGTAGTTGGTTCTAACAAAGTTCAAACCACACAGAGTGACCATTTGCCCACCTGTCAGAACTGTTTCAGTCTTAGACTATATAAGCAGATAACAATCCAAGGAACAAGAACACTATGTTAAACTATTGCTTTACTTTTTAATGCTGCATGGAGGGGTCACGAAGAAAATACTTCAGTCAATCCTACAACCCTGCTTTCAGTATCCGAGGGCTTGCTGCAACAAAATGAAGTGGTGAAGCTTTTTGCATCCTTTGGATTATCTCGTCACTTAAAAGTAGTTAAATTAAAAACTGCACAGATATATATCCTTCTTATCATTCCATCGCTACTGAAATACATCTTCAAGTGATTTGGCTCCTTCCTACCATCTCCCTAGACAACATTTCTAGGGAGACCTCCTCAGGCTATTTTAGAAGGATCAAGACCAATCTATTTCACATAACTGGTATGTCTGTATACAGAAAAGAATTAAGCAGCTCTCTGCTAAATGAATCAAGCCTAAAAACTGAATTACGCCAGGCATATAAATAAAGGCCCGCAATCCAACATATGTTTTAACACTTCTTGGTAAATTTGCTAGCTCCAGCACAGAAAACGAAGCCTGCTTAACAACAGGCTTGCTTTTGTCATTGATTTTTCACAGATCCGCTCAAGGGTAATTGGCAGACACTCAACAGCTCACAGAGCGTAAAAATTAACTTCAGTTGCCTTGTAAAGCTACATCCACCTCACTCGGCTGTACCAGCATACCTGGAGTACTGACAGCTTCACCATACCACCGGAATGTGGACCTCAAGAAGCACGACTACCAGTACAAGGCTAGACAAACCCAGGCTAATCTCAATTAGCTCAATCAGCTGTCATGTTAAAGAGTAAATAAAGGCATCTTCACTTCCTAATTTGTCCAGAAATTCACAGTCCCACCAGAAGGATTTTTATCTCTGGCTGGATACTTCAACAGAACGTTTACTTGAATTACTTCCTTTGATCATCGTAATTTAAATTTAGGTGATTCTTCTGATTAGAATTACTTCAATTTAGTACTTTTCAATCAAAATCAGTAGAAGAAACAAAGTCCATTTTATCTAAACCAGAAACTAACTGGTCAAGTATTTCCATTAATTAAGACTTTGTCTTTGTATCCTACTGTTGTAATTCTGCTCACCTGAATGAAAAAATCCAGGCAAGTTCTGTTTGTCTTAAGTGGTCTTTGGACTTACCTCTATAGAACAAAAGTTCTCAGGAAATGCAGGGTTCTTTCCACTCTCTACAACCCTGTAGTAAAAGGAAACAAGTCATCAAAGTCCTCTATTGCCATGTATCTGAAATCCTGTAGAAAGGACTCCTTACAGGTTTCAGTCAGCCTAAAAAAAACCAACCTCAGACCAACAAAAAAAAAAAAAAAATCCTTGAAAGTGAAATTACACATGCCCATAACAGCAGATAAAACGCTTTCACAAAAGGTAACCATCATCTTGCTCACCAAAATTTGTAACCAAGATCGTTATCTAAGTCATACACCTCCAACTACAGCAT